GTCTTTGCATCTCCATTTTCTTACCAATTGTAATTTAAATGCCATAAAAAGATGACGAGTGATTAGTGATGTCCCGAACGGTTTGCCGCGGACTCATCATTGAGTAAACTTTGACCTGTACCTCACAGTCAGCAGACACATTCCAGCCAATCAGCAGCAGACCCTCCCTCCCAAACCCTCCCACCTCCTGGACAGCTCACTAAGAATGCAGCTTCACAATGAATGTAAAATGGATGCTGTCCAGGAGGTGGGAGGGTCTGCTGCTGATTGGCTGGAATGTGTCTGCTGACTGTGAGGTACAGGGTCAAAGTTTACTCAATGATGAGTCTGTGGCGAACCGTTCGTGGCGAACCGTTCGCGAACCATTCGGCGAACTGTTCGGGACATCACTACGAGTGATACATATGATGTCTATAATCAACATCTTTATGTTAGTATGAAATAAAGCTAAAGAAAGTTCTGGGCTAATTTTTGTTACGTGACCTTCCCCATCTTCTTTTCTAATTTACCAACAAATATAGTTTCAATTTTTTTTCGTGATCTTTGTAAGTTTCAATATCTCCTTTTCCACAACATGTTTTAATCAGGGCCGGACTGGGGATTCCAAAGCAGCCCTGGAAAAAAAATCTTTGCCAGCCCCATAAGTCATTGCGCCATATATTGTCGCATGTAATATGTAAGGCTATGTCTTGCCACCCTAGATGATTGAGATATATATATATATATATATATATATATATATATTGCTTTTTCCAATATAAAATATTGGTCCTTTCAGAGTAAAATTTTTAATTATACAGTAAGCATACTCACATGCAGACACAGACAATCTCACTGACACAAGATGATTGATACACAGCCTCATAGACAAACAAACAATCTCACTGATATACATAAGGTCATTGACATAAAGACACAAGCTCACTCAGGCACACACACACACACACACACACACAAGCAAGCCCACTCACTAGCAGGCGCGCACACACACACACAGCTTAATGTAGTGGCTCTGGTGTCTACAGCCTGTCCCTGCAGGCTTTTCAATGTAAACACAGTAAAGGCAGTGTTTACATTGCTTCCTAGTGACAGACACTCAGACGGTCACTAGAGGTGCTTCCTGTGTCAGTGCGGATTGGCTGAGATCATCAAGCTTGATGATCTCAGCCGTAGAGGCAGGGCCAGTCGAGGGGAGACCAGCACGACGTGGAGGGGAAAAAAAGGTGAGTAAAAACACACATATACACACACACTTACCATGACAGACACACACCATGACACAGACAGACCGTGACACAGACACACACACCGTGACACAGACAGAAACACACACCATGACACAGACAGAAACACAGACACACCATGAAAGACACACACACCACAACACAGACAGACACACACACCATGACAGAGACACACACATACCATGACAGACACACACCATGACAGACACACACCATAAAAAAGACATACACACACACCTTGAAACACAGACACACCATAACACAGACAGACTGTGACACAGACACACACACACTGTGACACAGACACACATTACATGACACAGACAGACAGACACACCATGACACACAGACACACCATGACACACAAACACACACACACCACGACACAGAGAGACCGTGACACAGACACACACACACTGTGACACAGACAGACACACATTACATGACACAGGCACACACACACACCATGACATACAGACACACACACACACCATGACACAGACAGACCGTGACAAAGACAGACACACATTACATGACAGACACACACACAATGACACAGACACACATTGCATGACACAGACAGACTGTGACACAGACACAGCGTGACACAGACACACATTACATGACACAGACAGACAGACACACAGACACACACACACCACGTCACAGAGAGACTGTGACACAGACACACACACACTGTGACACAGACAGACACACATTACATGACACAGACACACATACACACCATGACATACAGACACACACACACCATGACACAGATAGACCTTGACACAGACACACATTACATGACAGACACACACACACAATGACACAGACACACATTGCATGACACAGACAGACGCACACACCATGACAGACAGAGACACACACCATGACACAGACAGACACACCCAATGACACAGACACACATTGCATGACACAGACAGACACACACACACCATGACACAGACAGACACACACAATGACACAGATGCACACCCCATGGCACAGACAGACAGACACACACAATGACACAGACAGACACACACAATGACACAGACACACACACCATGGCACAGACAGACACACACACACCATGACACAGACAGACACACCATGACAGACACACACACAAATGACACAGACACACACACTCACACTGACACACATAATTTCTACCTGTGTGCTGGCATGGGGAGCTCGGATGGCGGCTGCATGGGGGAGCTGGCTCTTCTGGCGGTCGCAGGGGGAGCAGGGTGAGCTGGCTGTTCTGTCCCTGCGGCCGCCGGTCTCATTGAGCAGCGCGCTGGGGAGGGGGAGCAGAGACAGAACAGCCAGCGCCCTCTGCGGCATCAGCTGAGCCAGCTGCCTGCCCGCCCCCGGTGCCGACGGCCCACCGGGAAATTTCCCGGTGGGCCAGTTTGGCCCTGGTTTTAATCTCAAGTAATTGTAAAATTCTTTTGACAGCAAATTCATTTTTTTTTAGATATTTCATTAAATGAAAGCACTTCTTGTTCCTTAATTATTTGATATATATATATATATATATATATATATATGTGTAATTCCTTTATCTAACCAATTTTTCTATTTTATGTAAACTATCAGGAGTTCCAACACTTCTAAAGGGATATAAAACCTCAACTCATATGATGATAGATATCTTAGTTTTATATTTTTCCACATGAGGCTTAGATCTTTCAAAATTGGATTCTCTAATACAGAATGAACTTCTTTAGACCACAGAATAATTCTCACGTCCTTTTTATTAAGGCTGTATAGGTGATGGAAGTGCGCTCAATCCTTAGTCTGAAATTCAGGGTGCTCGAGTGGATAAGTCCCAGTACCAAAAAAGTCCTTTTTATTTAGAGCATATTTTTCTAGAGCTAGCCATTGTAATGATTGATTTGTATTACACCATTTATATGTGCTAACATTATAGAATCATGGATTTTATTTACATTAGGCAACCCTAGTCCTCCATTTTGCCTGGACATAGATAAGATTTTGAAAGCTACTCTCGGTTTTCTATAATACCATTTAAATTGATTTAAAAATGTTTGAAATTCATTCAATTTTTTTTTCAATATAGCCAAAGGGATGGATCGCAAAAGAAAAGTTAATTTCGGAAGTATATAATAAGTTATAGTGTCAATTCTACCTAGCCATGAAATAAAAAATAAAAAATTCCACTCGTTTAGTTTGTTTTTGAATTTATTTAGTAAGGATTTGTAATTAAATTCAATAATTTGAATCAAAAGCTATTTTTATCCCTAAGTATTCCATAATATTTTCTTTCCAATTAAATTTGAACATTTCTTGAAGAGTATTTTTCATTTCCATCTTTATATTCACAGATAAACTACAAACCAGGGAGGTTAGTACCAACAGTCTGAACTGCCGTTCTCATGCTATCGCGTTTCTCACACCACGCTCTCCCGCAGCTGCCCGACACCCGCTGTGCTCCGTTCCATGCGCCCTACGTCATCACGTCACCTCACTTCCTATACATAAATTATACCTTTTTACAGGTAGCTTTTATTGATTTTAATTGCTTTTACAAGGACTTATTCAAAGGTTGTGCACCAAAAGACAACATTAAGGGCAAGTCTTTATGAGTTTACCTCAACAAAGGATGGAGCCCGGAACAGCCCTAGACACGAGTGCATCATTACAAGAAGACGTCGGACGCTGCGGCATCTCGCCGAGTGCCATGACATAAACGGCAGAAATTATATGGTGATACCCTTTTAACCCGGAAGTCTAAAATCGCAAAAAAACAAAGAGGAAAGCCGCACGAAATATAGAATAAAAAGCAGAGTTGCACAGATTTCTTTTATGCACTTGACAAAGACCTATGTTATGCTGTGTGCTGTTGAACATAATATACTTTTTTTTTTTTTTTTTTTAAGTCAATCTTTCTTTTATTGAGACACCCGCTGTTCTCCGTTCCATGATAGTTATTTCAGCTTTTGATGGGCGTATGGCTTGCTCTGATATGCTCTTGATGTGTAAAACAAACCATACAAAATATAGTATTGGAATAAAGTGCTTAAGTGTAATTCGTGTAGCTACTATCATCAGTGTTTTAGCCACACCAAAAACACATATAAACAGTAAAAATAAGAAAGCTGACACCCCACCCAAATGAATTGGGATACAGAAATAAAAGGGAGGGAAATGTGCGATATTAAGTACACGTTAGTCATATCACAACTGCAAATAACATTTCCTAGATAAGTGTCTCATTTTTAAGGGTGAGTGTAACGTGAACATGCTGAACTATTACGCTTAGTGCTTATGGTGTAGGTAACTGTACAGGCTTATCATGATGGAAGGTATACGGTATATAATCATTGTTCGTGTTCACCGGAGGTAGGGCATATGCCCATGTCTAGCTGGGCAAAAAGCCTTTCTAAATTGGCATTTCACGCTGCGTGACTGCCCTATCGCCAGGTATAGTTCTAAGGACTCTCTTATAACATTTATTGTGATTCTACCTAATCTGGCCAGCTCGCTTGGACATATGAATATAACCCTGTAGACATTCTATTCACAGGCTGAGATATAGGCTTATCTGGTCTCACGTTTTAGGCTGAGCTGAGGCTAGTTACTACTGCACATGTAATACTGATTGGTCGTAGTGAACAGGTAAGCGTCCAATTTGCATGCTAAAAAAGTTAAGCTTATCATAAACTACAAGAGTTCTACGTAACAGTAAGCTGTAATGGGCTATTAAGTAAGGTACGGAGAACATTAGTACAACAGAGTGCAGGCAATATAGGCTGGGTTTGTGGTCGGTAGGATGGACAGTCCAAGTGGGATTTCCGCAGAGCAGTAAAGTCCATGGCTGGAAGCGGCTGGATGTAGGCCCCCCCCGATCTTTGTGTCCTTAATCAGCCAATGCCCAGGCGAGGTGTGGGGGTACCATGCGTTTGGGGTGACCCCTGGGGCATGGTGGGATGCGGATATTGGCGGGTCGCCTTCTCGTCCCAAGCCGTGAAGAGGGCCGGCGCCTGCAGCCCATAGTCTTTGGTTCCTCTTGAGGCCGGGTCTTCCCTTTTTTGGGTGCCCAGGAGTGCTGGGGGCAGTGTGGATGGCGCCTTGGAGGTGTTCTCCGGTTGGCCCTCGGCCTAGGATGTCCTGTAGAGTGTGGGGTAGTTGCGGTTCCATGTGTTGTGCCTGAATGCGTCCCCTTCCAATTCCGACCTCTCTTTCACCTCAGCATAGGCGTGGGGCTTAGGCTTTTTGCCCCTCCAGAGTTCCCTTCGGATGGAAGTTTTGATTATCAGATGCCTCTCAGTGTGGGTCCTCTGTTTGGTACGTAGGCAAATTTCCGTGGCTGCTCTCTGGTTGATTCGGTGCCAGAATTTGCGGCAGACGGCCTCAAACCTGGCTTCAAATAGGGCCCTCCATTGAGTGTGTGGGCTATCATGCTGGGCTTCCCGTGTGGCGGCCATCTTGGACCCCGACTTGCACCTTAGATCAGGCCCCCTTAGGCTGGGATACCCCAGAGATGTACGGGAGGGAAACCCGGGATTACCCAACCCTGGAGAAGTATAGGGCTAGGGCAGATGCTGGGGAAGAGGGAGTAGACGGGGAGCGTTACGAGTGGGTGGGGGATAGGCTGTACAGGATCCCTAAACCGTCCCAGAAACAGAATACCCCTCCGCAGAATCGGCAGCTGGTGGTGCCTGCGAAATACCGGCAGGAGCTGGACATCTAGGCTCCCGCCACACAGCTCATAGGATCACTCAAAATTTCTTTTGGCCTAATTTCAACTGAGATGTGCGGGTATACTGTAGTACTTGTGACACATGTCAATGGGTAGGTAAATGGGGGGATCACCCAAAAGCTAGGCTTATAGCGATGCCTATCATTGGGGAACCCTTTTCCCGCATAGCCGTTGACATTGTGGGTCCACTGGCCAGGGCTAGTTCATCCGGGAAGAGGTATATTCTCACAGTGGTGGACTATGCCACACGTTACCCAGAGGCAGTAGCGCTGTCTAATATAGAGGCAGAGACAGTGGCTGATGCCCTGGTTAAGATTTTTACTAGGGTCGGGTTCCCTCAGGAGATTCTCTCCGACCAGGGAACTCAGTTTACCGCTGTGCTCACCCAGCAGCTGTGGAAGGTATGCGGCATTAAACTGCTGCTTAGCTCACCTTATCACCCACAGACTAACGGTCTCTGTGAGCAATTTAATGGCACCCTCAAGCAGATGTTGAGGACCTTTACTGACACTTGCAGAGACTGTGAGCGATTCCTGCCTCATCTGTTATTTGCATACAGAGAGGTGCCCCAGGAATCTACTGGGTTCTCTCCCTTTGAGCTACTCTATGGGAGAAGGGTCCACGGGCCCCTGGATCTCATTAGAGGACACTGGGAGGGAGAGACAGAGCAGGAAGGAACCCCCATCGTGCCATACGTTCTGGAACTCCGGGACCGCATGGAGAAATTGTCCCTAATGGTAAGGGAGAATCCCCAGGCGGCCCAGGGGAGACAGAAGAGGTGGTACGATCGGGGAGCCCGACAGCGGGTCTTCCAGGTGGGGCAAAAGGTTTTAGTGCTCAAGCCTGTGAATATGAACAAGATGCAAGCATCTTGGCAGGGCCCATATAAGGTGTTAGCTCAGTTGTGTGATACTACCTACCTTATAGCCAGCTGTGCAGATGAAAGGATTCAGCGATCCTTTTATGTGAACATGCTGAAGGAGTATCAGGAGAGACCAGAAGATGTCGCTGCAGTGTGTGCCCCGGTTGCCGACGACCCAGAGAATTTACCCCTGCCTGACTTATTAGAGAAGGACCCCCAGACTGACCTCACTAGTCTTGTACAGCTAGGGGATCGGCTGAGCCCCACAGAGAGGGTACAGGCAAGACAGCTTCTGTGGGAGAAGCAGGCGCCGTTCTCCCAGGAACCAGGCTACACTACCCTAGCTGTACACAAGGAGACCCCCGGACAGAATCCCTTACGACAGCCACCCTATCGTATCGCTGAAGCAGTCCAAGAAGGAATGCGGAAGGAGATACAGGAGATGACCAGGCTTGGAGTTATCGAACACTCAGACAGCCCTTGGGCCTCGCCTGTGGTCCTAGTGCCTAAGAAAGATGGGACCACCTGGTTCTGTGTGGACTACAGGCGGCTCAATGAGAGGACCACCACTGACGCCTACCCGATGCCCCGGGCAGACGAGTTATTAGACCGCATTGCCAGGGGACGCTATCTGACCAAGATAGACCTGTGTAAAGGCTATTGGCAGATCCCCCTGGCCAAGGATGCTATCCCTAAATCGGCATTCGTCACCCCATTTGGCCTGTACCAGTTTAAGGTCATGCCATTTGGGATGAAGAATGCTCCGGCTACCTTCCGGCGTATGGTGGATAGACTTCTCGATGGCTTCCAGGAATTTGCGTGTGCATACCTGGATGACATTGCAGTCTACAGTGAGTCCTGGGAAGAACACCTGGTGCATGTAGGGGTGGTTCTGGACAAGATTCGGGCTGCTGGCCTGACCTTGAAACCAGACAAGTGCCAACTAGGCATGGCGGAAGTCCAGTACCTGGGTCACAGAGTAGGGTGTGGGAGCCAGAGACCAGAGCCAGCCAAAGTAGATGCCGTGGCTAACTGGCCCACACCTATCACAAAGACCCAGGTGCTGGCCTTTCTGGGGACAGTGGGGTACTACCTGACGAAAAAGAATCTACCTAAGCAGGTCCTGTGGTCTCCAGCTTGTGAAGCCACGTTTCAGGCACTGAAGCAGGCTCTTGTCCTGGCTGCCCCAGTCCCTAACAAACATTTTCTCGTTCATACAGATGCTTCCATGTATGGACTGGGGGCTGTGCTGAGCCAGGTCGGGGAGGATGGAGGAGAGCACCCTGTCGCATATCTCAGCAGAAAGTTACTACCTCGGGAAGTGAGTTATGCAGCAGTGGAAAAGGAGTGTTTAGCCCTGGTCTGGGCATTAAAGAAGTTAAGCTCCTACTTATACGGACAAGAATTCTCCCTTATAACGGACCACAATCCACTTGTCTGGCTTAACCGGGTCTCAGGGGACAATGGTAGACTGATGTGGTGGAGTTTAGTTTAACTTCATCATCAGCTACCGACCCGGTCAAGCTGAATGGGAATGCGGATGGATTGTCCCGGCAAACCGACGTCCCTACCACCTCCTAGTCCGGTCATCCCCAAGTTGACCGGCCAAAGGGTCAAGCCGGGTCTGCCGGAGTGTTCCACAAGGGGGGAGCCGTGTCACAGATCCATCTGTATAGACTAAGCTTGATGGTTCGTCTGTTTGGCCTCCTTTCGTGGAATTACCTGTCCGTATGACACTGTTCGTTTATTTGACGTTTTTACCGAATTAACTTACCGAACGGACGGCCACCCAGAAGAGAAGTGTGCTGCTGGTTAACCTCTTGATCCCAATTAGAACGTTGTGGTTAACCGCAGACACCTCTCAATTAGAACCGAATACAGGGTGGTCGTCGTTCGTATGTCGACCACGGAGCGGTGGCCATTTTAAACCGTGCGAAGGACCAGCGGTGTTCGGCACAGATTCTATGGAACTAAAAACGGACACTTTTTCTGACGAACACCGCTAAAACCACAGACCGCCCTTCTCAGTCGACAAAAGCATGCGAACACCAGCCGTTCGGGAGTTTGGACTACACGAATGGACATAACCCAGATAGCCTTCCCATGGAGTCAATCGCATACCGAAAGACTGTAAAAGATTTTGACTCCATGGCGATTGAACTGTACGTATGGGATCTGAGCACTATTCGCTAGGAATATGCACTCAGATCCAGGCTATCTGGGGATGCATTGCACAAATGGAGTATATTCAGTAGTTGTATAATTATGTATTTTTATGTGGTTTTTATGTTCCATCTAAAATGGCGATTTGCCTCTGTCCTGGGAGATAATTGAATTACTTATCTCCAGGGCAGAGGGGAGGAAACCATGATGCATGCTGGGAATATTATGTGCCTGTGTGTCCTGAAATGCTGTATGTCCATCTGCCATTACAGTCTCCCATTTGGTCCCCTAGGGGAATGTCCACCAAGTGGGAGACCTGCATAAATACGGGCGGGTAGCCCACAGTAAACCCAGTTCTTGTTTTACCCCCAATGCGGAGCTTGGTCTCGTTATTGGTGGGATTTACTACACACGAATAGCGACTGATTGCTGGAACCGTAAGCCGCTTGGGAGATATATTGATTCGGCTGTTAGCAGCGATTCGTGGGTTTACCGCTCGAGAGCTGGAGTATCCGTACAGGTCCCGTTCAGGAGGTGAGCGCATTCCCCTGCTTGCAGTTCGTACGAGTGGAGTCTATACGAATGGAGTTTACAGCACTGCGAGATGGGATGATTAACTAAACGCCGGTTTGGCTATTTGATGCTGAGGGTGCCGTTACAGAATGAATACCAATACAGTGTAGTTTGTAAGGAGTCAAAGTGTGTAAATATACACTCACATTTAATCGAGCCAGAAGATGGCTCCCAACAGATAGTTTAAAGTGATACAATCCCCACTCTTGAATATGTGCTGTAGTAGTAGTCCTTACCATGGCAGTATGTGAATAAAACAAGGATAAATATAGTGCACACTGTAAAATACAAAGGGAATAAAATATATGAAAATGTACTCACACGTCTGGAGCAAAAAAGGGGGTTTTGCTCAGTCCTCAAAGCATAGGTGGTATGTTCCCCACCAAGGAAATGATGGTCTAATGACAGGAACAAAACAGGATGGTCCAGTATAATTAAAAATTCACTTGTCTATTAGAAGGATATAAAAGCATACACAGATCCAATAAAATATAAATAGATCAAATTTTTCCACTGTGCAGAGGTCCAATATCAAGCAAAGAATACTAAATGTAATTTGATAGTAGAGATGGAATGAAGAATTAAGGAACACTGCAGTCCTTTGAATTTTCAGCAGTTATCACAATGTGCTTGTACAGAGAGTGACTGCAGTGTGCTCTATAATAAAGGTGTAATGAATACTCACTCAATTATCCTGACCAAATTCAGAGTACACTTGTTGCTTGCAACTCCCATATTTTCATACATTATTGGAAATTCAGCCGGCAGTTACAATTACCCCGTATCAATGTAGTATTTAAATGACTGTTG